CTCTTTACTCTCAGTACAACAAAGGCATTCCCTCCATCTTCATAAATATTTATAAATTTCAATAGCAGTTGAATCAAACCAGCCAATCAACAAGCACAGTGGGCAACACTTTCATTTAAAAGTTTTAATGTTATTCAATTGGCCAATAGAAACCTTTCGTATCAGTTTAAACTGTGAAGTTTATAAATAGAAGGGAATGTCTTTGTTGCATCACGAGTAAAATAAATTAATTGAAGGTACAAGATTTGTTATTTTTTTCAGATGACCAATTTTTCAGGGTCATTGACCTGTATTTCGAGTTCGAGTAAACAGGAAACCTTTGATGCATGTTGAAGTAAACTACTTCTCCCTGATCCACAATACTACATCTAGGAAACTATTTGGGGACAATAACAGTTCCTCTCTAGATTAAATTTACACACTCATACCTGGAAAAACCATTCTTAATGTGAATTAAAAAGCAACCCCTCCAGCAGTATTGGAATGTAGCCATCTGTTTTGTATACAAAATAGAAATATTGATAGTTCAAATGTAACAATTTGTAATAATAAGCTAATAGTACTATAGATACTTAGTGTGCTATATTACAATACTGCTGGTTGGGTTGCTTAATTATTTAGAGTAAGTTCTGCACATGTTGATTTTAATTTTGGTTGATTTTATGAAAATTGTCTTTATAAATTATAAACAAGAACATTCTGGATATTAAATATGATCAAATGTAAAAAAAAGTGACTAGTGATAATTCAGTAACATGACTGGACATTTTTTTCATATGGGTAGGTAAACTACAGACAGCCGTATATATGTTTTGTGTATAGAAAATAACCAAACAGATGACGAAGCTGGGAGAAAGAGGTTGTCGAAAGTGTGTTGACCCCGAGAAGGAAGTTCGACGACCTTTGAAAAGTCGTTTCCGTTTTACTCTCATTCATTGTCATAGTACATCTCGTATATTGATCAGTACGATGACAGCCAAAAACAACCTTACCATTTTATTCAAACATTAATTGTTTTAAATTCGAAAAGTTTGTATATTGGTTTCAACAAATTATTTCGATCTTGTTGTTTATTCTAAGAACAGTAGTAAAAGTGGTGAAAATGAAAACATGAGATCATGAACGGATGTTTACGAATAACTTGGAAGTATGGAACATATTTCTTACCATTTACATGTGGATGTCGAAGCCTTTCATGAAGAGAATTGTGATCAGCCATCTCTTTCGTTCAACTGTCAGACAGACTTTTGAATTACACTAGTCTTACTCCGGTACGTTTCGCACTTTTGAATTACTCACTCTGGTACATTTCGCTCTTATGTGCACAAAGCCCCTTAACTTGCTGAGCAGAAACATGCAAAGTATATCGCCAGCTACGGCAGAAGTTAGGTTAGTTAAAAGGTTCAATGCTCCAAATTCGACACGTATTAACATGAGTTACTTTGATCAAATTACATTTTTATTGCTATGATTAAACACGTTATTGTTAGTCTTGGAACAAATATGATATAACAAAATCTCGTGAAATTAAAATGAGAAAGTTAAGGATCATCTGATCACATGACCTGTATCACATGATTTGTCTGTTGGAGGCGACTGATAAATTGTGACCCAAACGTGCAGTAACTTTCCCTTTTAAAGTTAAACTGACGTCGCGTTTCCAGTTCAGCGGGCGTTGTTATTATTTTTGTTGCTGTTATTGTTGGACATTTGTGCCTTGCGTCAACAAATCAATAGAGGTACAGTTATTGTTTTATTTCTCATGCACCAAAACTAAAAAAAGCGTGTACGTGTTCACTCTCATGCACATCGTATTATATCTCACCGGTCACGGTAATGACACAGCCCGTACACGTACACGTGCAACTGTTTATGTGTATTTCCGTACACTGGTGTGACCCCCCCCCCTCCCTTCCCCCGTGCGAATGACGGGTTGGGATCCGAGTCTCTGGTCTCTTGAAATGTTGCTTAATAGATAGCAGATTACAAGTTGAAGAACAGTACCCCCATTGTTTCCTTAGTTTATACTGTTATATTGCTATGCCCATGGAGGTACTGTGGCAAGAGTTCCTTGTGTGCCCCCTAACCCAAACTCTAACCCTCACTCCCAGTTATCCAATTCATTTGTATATGCCCCCTCTAGATAACTATAGATGTCCTTAGGAGGGGCATGTACAATTAAATGAGTGCTGGAGGGTAGGGTTAGGGTTAGGGATGGGGGGTACAAAAGGAACTCTTTCCAACTGTATACCATATTTGCTCTGTTGAAAGTGCATCTCCAATAGAACTGAAGTGCATATAAACCGAAAATTGCACGTCTTGTATACTGGATCATTAAACTATGACTGTACATAATGTACATAGGTGCATGCGCTTCAAACAGAATCCGTATTTTGAAACAGTGTGTAAGTCAGAATACAGTAATATTGATCTTGTATAAAACAAAATAAATAAAGCGATTAACAAATATTGCATGTTTCAATTACAATTCTTCACAGATAAATGATTCAGAAATTACCCAGACACCAACGCATATTTAAGTGCGCCCTCTCTGGCAATACTTGAGTTATTCATTGTCGAGTCAAATTGCTCGTTATAGCTATAGTTTTCTTCTCAGCCCTAAATTGAGCTGACATTTTACTATTTGTTACACGAGGGCTAAAAATCCAACTGATTAGATCAATTCATTTTTTTAATTTGTTTTCAAATTTTTCACTGTACTAAAGAAACACTGATATGACATACGGCCACCTTGAAATGCATGGTAATATCTGGTACATGTACATAATGCAAACTATATTCTCTCAGTATAATGTGAACAGTCGTATGTTTGAAAACGTAGCAACTGTATGTCTTTGAGGTATGAACTGTGAACTTGCTTTGGGAATGATTTCAATATTTTGCACAAACCGACCCATGCTCAAGGCCGAGGCTTCGTGTTGGTCTCCATGCTTTGCGGATTGGACGCATGAAATCGACTGTGGTATCTGCATCAAAATCGCATCATTATGGAATCAAGTGATAGTCTGCATACAATGTATACAGTTCGACCAACTGTAGTTGTTGTTTAGTACTAGGCCACATACCAAAGACAATCCTCAGGCTGCCAATTAGGAACTGTGGCAAGGCAGTCAAAAATTGCATCAGCGGTTTTTCGCGATCGTCAACACAACGCTTCATTATATTTATGACCAGTTGTCACATGTTATGGCAACCTTGATTGGGTGCATGCTTCAGAGGCGCCTCCAATCAGATCTATGGATTTTACCAAGGTAAAATATGGGAATTATCAGTGCAATCCCGCACAGGTGCGTGGGAGAGTATGTTTACACCGAGCTTGTGAAACCGCACGATTCGGATGATCGTTTGTCTTTCCTTCAATCACAACCAACTTATGAGGAACATTGATCCCATCCAATTAATTCATAGATAAGTACAATCTGTATGATAAGTAAAGTTTGGCGCAAAATATTAAAATTACTAGACTTATTCATTTCATGGAAATTGTTGTGATTTAATAGTCAAAAGCCACACTGACAGTTTTGAAATACATGAATGCATCTTATTCATCCACAAAGGCATTATACTTGTCTTTTGAAAGTTATGTACTGGTAATAATTATGAATGTGATATTAAAATTAATCATGGCTTTATGAAATGTACATGTACAGGATTTTATAAAGCAATTGTGCAGGAGCATTCTTGTGGTAAGGAGACGCGATGAAAACATGTTATAAAGATGAAATATATTTTCAAAATTGTTTTTCATGAAGGGTTATTATGAAAATTTATATAACGTTTATCTAACATGATCCTTGCGATATGTTGAAATCAGGAAAAATGTTTTTATTAGGGAGAGAAGCCCCATGGATAACACATGAT